TACATTTTAAAGTGCTGCACATCTGGATAAATGCTACCTAGGTGGACCCCAACAACATACCAAAAATGCAGGTTTACCGCAATTATTGCAATTTCAAATGTATCATAATGTTGACTGGCCTAAATGTTAAGTTTAATTATTTCAAACATGATTTTTACCATGGTATGTATGTGAATTTTTTTATTGTAACAAATATTATTATTATTAATTATTTCGTTTCAAATAATTATATGCAAATAACCACGAAAAAAGTTATAATACATTTTCATTTTCTTTACTTTTATCCAAATATAATTTGACTAATAATAGGTCTTATCAGCGGATATGATGATAACTAAATGGGGCTCCGTAACGTAACCAATAACTTTTTGCGAGGCGACAGTAATGTGTTCAAAGTATGGGGCGTTTGAAAATAAAAAGTTTTGTACGAAACGGCTATTTTTTTTATTTGATGTTCAACTTCATACGCATAGTAGTGACTATCAAAAAGAATTGTTTGCAAAAGAGTCCCTATAAAAATATCTTCCATATCATTACAAATATAAACTTTTTCCACATGTAAAAATGTAATATCGTTGTGATCGCAAATTGGATTAGGACCATACATCAAAACAGACCCTTTATTATATCTAACAGTAGACATGGCAACCCAACGAACACGAAGTAAAGACTTATTATCTCTTAAATCAATACTGGACTGGATCAGCTCTAAATCAGCCGGCAAAGATTTTAATTTCTTGGGACTCCAAGTTACAATTGAATCATGAGAATCTTTTAACAAAATTTCATTTAGTTTAAGCTGGTGTTTAATGGCTAAGCTTAAAGTAATGTTTCTTCTGTTACTCGAAGCTCTTGCAGACGTCTTTGACAATCTATGTTTGGCTTCGTACCGTATAGTTGAAAAACATTGAAGGGGGCCAAAGTTGATCATTACTTTATGGTAATGTATTAGATGATGAAAAGAGGATGGGCAAACTTGTATGGAGTTTGGTCTAAGAAGTTCCTCATTTTAAACATATGCCAAAGTAAAGGCCCATATGCTTACTTCAAAATGACAGAAGGGCATCAAAATTGGTCCCGGTGTTTTTTTTTGCAATGTTATAAAATCAAAGTAACTAGGTTATTGCAACTAGGAACTATTGTGTGTGTACACACCCTGGTGCCTGTTTCATATATACCTATGATTTATGTTATTTATTGAAAATATCCCTGCGGGGCTATGAGACGATCATAGAGATCACTAATACTCGATTGCATAACGTCACATTGATTTGTCGGCTAATCTCACAGTGATTGATGAGATTTACCGATTATATGACGTCAATTACAATCGAGTATTAGCGATCTCTATATTTTTTTACTGATTATGGGGTCACTCTTGACCTCAGGCTCGCCTCTGAAAAAGCGACGACGAGGTTGACGATGGAACGAGATCAACCAGAAGGTGTTTACTCTTCTCTTAAAGGTGTTCAAGTCATACCCTTCTGGAAAAACAGACAACGGCAGGGAGTTCCATTTAGCAGTGCGCAATATAAAAGTTGAAGAAGAGCGCTTCGTACGCGAGAACGGTATATCTACTACGTGAGGGTGAAATCCTGCCGTGTATCTGTAAGTCCGGTGATAGAATCGAGATATCAAAGGCTTAAGGTATCATGCTCGATTGTTAGCGAAAAAAGGTATCGTATAAAAAATAGAAAATAAAGAGAATCAACATTTTTATTAAACAATCAATTAGTATAACATAATGCGATTCTATAAATACTCGTTTATTATTAGATCCAAAAATCTAGCAGGTTAATGCACAACTTCCTCGTAACGAGCATACCCAAGGTACCAAGCTACCACCATGACATGGGCGCAGCATCCCACAGTGCGTTTCCCCGCTTTGCATGAACAATAATAATGTTCAATGGCATCTAAGCCGCTGGTATTATCTTTTATTACAATATAAGAGTAGTACTTTCGTGACCGGGTGTGTCTGGATTGAATTTTACCCCTTAAAAGCCAAAGACTCTCTCCTTCGATTCCGGCAGCATTTAAATCAGCAGTCACTCGTTCTTCATCTCGATAAAGGTCTATGGAATACTCGCCGTCGTGATCCTTTACGTGCTCGGCGTAATAACTGTTGGTTAGTTTTAATTGGTAACACCCCACTGCAAACACGAGTAGGTCATCTTGTGTGAGCCTTGGAAATATTTCAAGACCAGGTAATTCTGCGGTCATACTTTGAAATGCAACTCTTTGCCCATTCAGCCGATTACGTTGCACAAAATCTGCCAATACGTTTGGCATTTCTCTCCTGACAGCTATTCTTTCAAGAAATGCAGGAGCATGCACATTATCCATGACAGGAACATGAAATGCATTTGTTAAAGCAGCAGCTATCCTATAATCTGCAAACATGTGGCGCATTGCGTTGTGATTATATTCCTGCCTGAATAGCTTAAAATCACGTTTTATCCTGCCATTTACGCATTCGACTACCCATCTCACCATTGTCACCATTCTTGACTCATTGGCTTGGGTGGTGGTTAATTGAGTCTCTCCGGTCCTGACAGTGGCTGGCATGTACGGTTCATAGCCATAAGCCTCTAATCCACTAATCGAGTCCCTGAATCCTCGGTCGAGAATAAAAATGTCTCCACTGTTGTAAAACCAATGAAATGGATGTTCTTCATTATGCAACATTTCATTGGTGATTGTTGAGTCGGACTTTTTGGCTCCATGAGGCCCAGTTACATCTATGATGTAACCATCGCTGCATACAATCGTAAATATTTTCAATAAGTTGAGGAACTTATGCGGGCTGTATGTTTCTATTTGGAATCCGAAGTTGCTGCTTTTAAATATATAGACATAGGTCGCATCAGCGACGCTAATGAGTTGATTGTTTTCAGGGGTTCCAAAAAGTGCATTTGGTATCATTAGGTTCCGTTGCAGCAGTCTCTCTCGCTGAATATGGTCCCATCCAAGATGGCGAGGAACATATTCTTCAGACAAGCTATCTCTGGCCTCTTTCATCAATCGTTCTAGTTTCCTACGACTCATGTGGAATATCAGTGCTAACCTAGTATTCGGTTCTCCGGTTGTTAGCTTCGCAAGCGTTATAGCAAGAGCAGTTTTCGGTTCGTTACAAGTTCTGAGTGATGGCGTTTTATTTAAGATTGTAGAAATAGCTTCCTTAGATCGACCAGTCCAATAATATAACTCGTCATCATCTATGTCTTCTAGATTTTCAAAGTCATATTTTTTTTTTCTTTCTGCAACTTGCTTTATTGTTGTAATTATGTCAGTTACCTGCTCACTGGTAAACCTGTGACTTATGTTTGGTGCATTGAATAATTCATTCCAATCATCAGATTCCGAATGAATCTGACACGTTCGTGCCGCTTCTGGAACATAATAGTTATTCTCCATCAGCAATCGTGCTTTTACAGCAGCTGTAACACGCCGCCGAGTCACACGACGACACTCAAAAAACATACAGGAATTCGTGGTGTTAGGAGGCCATGAATAAGTAGGTAGTTCAATCATAGCTACTTCTTGCATCACGACATCTTGTGCTTGTTCTGGATGGTCTTGGTCTTCAACATTAGGAGGAGGTTCTGCAACAACGTTTGGTGGTTGACGTACATTGTTCAAAACCCCTATCCAGCACGGTCGACAAACGTATTCAGCGTTGTAAAACAATATCTGAAACAATAAAAAAACACTATTATAACTTACTATTGCTTTTTTTACTGAAAATGAGCTCTCTCTTGACTTCAGTCAAGCCAAGATAGTAATTATGAGGTTGACGGTGGAGCGAGATCACCCAGGAGACCCCTGTTACTTTTTCTTAAAGGTATTCAGGTTGTATTTAGGTCGTGGACTTTATCACAGAATATAACCCAATATCTTTTTAAGCAACGCAAGTGCGGGGTCCGTGCGAACAGTTAGGTACTTGTACCTGTTTTATCGATATTGTTCCTGCCGGAATAGCATGATCGCGTCGAGAAAGCTAGTGCTGTCTTAGTCCAACCCAACGTGTTGAAATAAAACTGCACTGGTGTATCTCCTTTCTCGAGTCTTTGTCGAGGGTTCAAGCTACTGGGGCTTTACTAACTTTTATTTTAAGGAAAACAAGTAAGTATTTTAGAGATAATATTCCATCAAATCACCTATCATTACTATAGTTTAACGGTTTTTCAATATCTCACATCAAAGGTTTTCGTTATTCACTGTAACAAGTATGTATCTACTTACTTAATATCTATGTTAATAATATAATAATACACATACCTGATACGGATGCAGATTTTCTGTAGCAATTATAGCTGCTTTCGGGTGTTCATGAAACAAGTCTTGTGTTAATGTTATTCGTCTTTTTCGTAACACAGAACGGTTACACAGCAAACAAATAACTCCTGCCGAAGGTCGATACATATCGATAGCTCGGTTCAAAAATTGCCAGTCACAAAGATAAAGAGGAGTCCATAAGCATGCATAAGTCGGTTTGATGTCTTTTCACTAGTTCACAAAATAGATCACAGCATAGAAAAATAACACGATGATAAAGATGAGCTCTAGCCAAAGACTGACTCACGTGTCATATTCGTCCTCGACGACGCGCCCCACTCTTTATCCTAATGGCTTACAGTGCTATTGCGTATTCATCTAGCAAATAGATCTTAGATAGAGATCGAAATACAAAAGAAAATGGTGGGGTGCGTCTTCGTGTATGAGCATGGCTACCGGTTTTGACGAGTACGCACCCATCTTGCGGGTGACGGGGGTTTGTTTGTGGCGCGGGTGAGAAGGTGAGGGGGGACAGGGTGATGCAAATGCTTTATGCGCTGCGTCGGCGCCGCCAAAAGTCGGCATTTTATTGTAAAATGATATTAAAGTAGATAAGTACTAAGAAAAAACAAGGTAAAAATAATAAATAACGAATCTCTTAAAAAAAATCCCTCGGATGGATTTTAATCACGTTTAACATTATTTGTAGAGAAAAAAAATGTCTATCGATTGGTATTATTCTTATCGATGGAGGCTCTTGGACCACTTTTGCCCATCATCATTTGGGTTTTAAATCTTCGCTTCAAGACTTCAAGACCCTGCCAAACCGAAGAAGCCATTGCTAATTCTAAGATTTCTCTTAGTTTTAAGTAAAGGTGCCAATAACTGTCACCTTCAGGAACTTTATCCCCTACAATAACTCCAAAATATCTTATAAAAGTTAACATTTCTGACGCGCTGAGACGAATGTTACCTTTGTTAATGTGAACCATAGAGAACTGAACGGGCTTATTGCGTCTGTCGGGGCCATATTCGAAATTGTTGAGCCTACTGTTAAGTAATTCCAAAGAAAAATACTTAAATCGCTTTATGTACTTTGTAAGCACAAGACCGACAATATACTTTCCTACTCCTTCTAAAACGTCATGCATTACGTCGACCCCCACTTGTCTAAATAAATCGAACCCACTAACGTTCATCCAGACGCATCTTTCCTTTACACCAGAATTGGCAGGTACGCTTTCTATAATATCAGCATCATAATCGACGGTACGTCTTAAAAGAGTTTTATCTTCATAAGACATTTTTTTCATGTCTTCTTTTTGTACCCTACAAGTTCTGCAAGAAATTAGCTGAAAAACTTTCTAGAAATCCAGAGATAGAATGAATCCCTAAATTATCGCCAATAATCAAAGCTAGTTCAAAATATACTACTCCTTCTAAATCGGGAATACTAAATATGACTCCACCAGTACTAAGATAATTCAACTCCTCTATTATAGGCTGGAATATAATCTTATTGCCAAATTGTGACCTGTCAGAAGAGTGGAATAGTAAAGTCAAGAAAATATTAGATAGAAGAGAACAGCGCCATGGGGGTAGACATGGGATTGAAATGTAAACAGCGCCCAACTTGTGTATTCCTGAGTGGCTCCCAAGAGCATTAGATGTTTCATAATCATCAAAAAATAAGAATAAAGGGATCACTTTTTTACTGTCAAGATTTTTGTGTTTTGATTTCCAATACTTTGCTTGAATAAAGTTTGTGATAATTTGGTCATTTTGGTACAAATTTTGCATGTGCTTTAAAGTGTGAATTAACATAGAGTCGAAAGAAAAAAAAGTTTTCAAAACATCTCTAAGAGGAATAAATTGCATGTAACGATTAAGTGACAATGTTGTTTGCCTGCTATCACCTGTTTGTATCGCTCGGCTCTCACCCACTATTATTGATTTAGGTGGAATATAAGTTTGGAGGTGCTCAAAGAAGAGAAAACGCCGATGTTCTGTAGAAAATTTGCTAAAAGTTGTGATGACTGCGGTATTTAGAATTTTTTTCAAATTTGGTATATAAGAAGTATTAAAAGAAATTCCTCCATCATTAGCCATTTCTTGTAGCACATCGGTAACCAACGGCACAAAAGAACGTGTCAATATGTTCTGAACTTTTTCGATGAATATCTGGACGATGTTTCTAGGCAAACTTGAGGATCCATATAGTGTCGCGACTAATGATGCTACAGCTGCAGTAGGAGGAATATTAGACAACTGAGCATAATGTTGCGGTACTGTGACTGTCAACTTAGATACTTCATTAGTCAAATTAAGAGATTTCGAAGTAGACGAAGGCGAAGAATGGGTATTGTTTTCAGACAAAGTTGTATTTGTTGTAAATGAATGTCTAAATTTATTTTCGCATTGGTGGTTTTTAACATGATGTCTGCGATAGGAATTAAATAGATGATACGACCTAGAACAACCACTCTCAGCGCAACGATATTCTTTAAAAAAGTGATCACTATGAAAAACTTGGAAATGAACTCTTAACGCTCTTAAGTCTAAGGAGTCTTTAGTACACAAAAAACATACAACCATGTTAATTTTAGTCGAGACCGCAGCCAGTCAGCAAACTCAAAACAGAGGTAGGTACTTTTTCCTTATAACCAATTTCTTCTACAGAAATTTTGTAAATAGCTTTCTCCAAAAATTGCCACACTGGCAAACATTCCGCAGGATATTGTAAATTCAGTGCCCAAATTACTTTGAAGCATGTGTCTACTGCTTTCCCTACGCTTGGCAGTTCAAATATTATGTCATTAATAATACAATACCTATTGGTAATTTTACTCAATGGTCCTGCAACAATAACATATGGCTGGACAGTCATACCAAGTTCCCGCTTTTTATCGCGAATATTATTGCATTCTTCAGTGAGCCGTTTATCGTCTAATATGTGTAATATGAAACTGTCGCGTATTTCTGCAATAGAGCACTTTTTCTTTTTGATGTGGATCGGTCCAATGAGATGAGGGATCAGCAACTGCGCAGCAAGTGTTTTCGTTTCTGAATCAGTGTCTGTAAAAAATTTACGATATTATTATTTCTATTAATAAAATCCTCAGAAAGTCGCGAAGGAGAATAAGGTAGAATATAATGAATAATAATATATACCATTAAAAAATAGTAGTTTATGACATTGTCACGTAATAAGGGCAATAATAACTCTGCTGCGGCTCGTACCTGAATAGCTTGCACAAGTGTTATTATTGCTAATTACGTGCAGTGTGTAATACTTTATCTAAACCCCCAATAGTTTGCATAAAGAAACAAAGCGCATGAACGTATCATAAAAATAAAAAAACCCGGCTGCATCAAAACGAACTAATATGGAAACAAGATTATGTAGAAAAATAAAAATATACAGTCGGAGGCATTTTATAACATACTTAAATATGATCATCAAGTTTAAACAAATATGATAAAATGCCTCCGACTACATATTTTTATTTTTCTAAATAATCTTGTTTCCATCTTTTTAGTTCACTTTGATGCAGTCGGGTTTTTTGCTTTTATAATATTTATTTTTATTTACCGGTTTTTTGAGTTTGTGTCAAAATAAATCGTAAAAATATGTATATTTATTGGAATAACCTCTTTACTAGCTTTCATTTGATACCCATATTGGTTATTGTAACAAAAAAAAAACAATTCCCCCCCCATTTCTCTATTTGCAGGTATGGCTGGCTCACCACGTATCTCGAGAACCACACCACTTAACAAAGATTTGATTGTTGGAAACGAATGCCAGTAATTGTCAATATTTGTCATCAGATAATTATCAACTGTAGGGGCCCCGTTTAAAAGATATAGATATTTTAATTAAGTACACTTACGTACAAAAGCCAAAGTATGAACGAACGAGCGGCGGTGGCGTAATGGGCGAACGACGGACTTTCGTGCAATAGGGTCCGGGTTTGATTCTCAACCCAGGTGCCATATACCAATGAGTTTTTCAATTTGTAAAAGCTTAGCAGGCCTGAGACCCTGCAGTGGGAACATACACAGGCTGATGATGAGGTGACAAATACTGACATTTAGATAACATTTGATCCACGGTATCCAAACTACTGAACTCGTTGGTGGACGAGCCATAATAAGGCATACCGTTTCGTAACTATTATTGATTTCGTATTAGCGAATTTAAAGTATGGGTGTAAATAATTTTTTTTAATCATAGCCAATAATAATTATATTAAAATGTAAAAAAATAAAATAAAATACAAAGTAATAGGACACCCTCCAAAAGGGGCAGCTCTGAACCCGATAAATTACAAAAACCATTACATATAATACTTACCGATTATAAGGTCCTGTAGTGTTGTTACAAAAGTACTTTTGCTAGAAATTTTGTCTGATACGTGGAGTATTTGTTTTTGATGATTGGGAATTTATCTTCAAAAGAATTTTTGTTACCGGGATACCAATGATGAAAATCTTCTATTAGCTAGAATAAAAATACATACATCTAAAAGTCAATTGGTACGGTCAACGGCACATCAAGCGTAACAGTTAACTGCGATAACCGCTTCTATTGCTACGGTAAGGTTGGTACAACGTCAAAACTTGATCTGCCAGTGTGTGTAAATTTATTGTTATTACTAGCTATTACCCGCGACTTCGTTCACGTGGAATAAACAAAATATGGTTTTATTCTTTTCCCTGCGGAATCCCGGTCCCGTCAAATGTGAAAGGCTCGTCAAAATGTATCCAGTCATTTTGGAGATTATAAGAAATGGTTTTCTTTATTTCCCGTCGAACCTCAATTCTTTTTCTAAACTAAAAGTAGCCTATGTTACACTCTTTAACATCCGATATCTGCCAATGAAAGTCCTGTCAAGATTGGTCCAGTCGTTTTGGAGATAAGCTGCATAAATGGTTTTCTTCATTTCCCACGAGACCCTAATTATTTTCCTAAATTTAAACTAGCCTATGTTAGATAGACCGCTAAACAAAAGCTACCTACCAGTTAAAGTCCCGTCAAAATAGAACCAGCCGTTTCGGAGATAAGACGGAAAAAACTTTTTTAAAATTAAAAGTAGCCTATCTTAGACCCCTTAACAAAAGTTATGTGCCAGTGAAAGTCCCGTTAAAATTGTTCTAGCCTTTTCAGAGATTACCCGGAACAAACAAAAAAAGTTTTTTATTTCTACTTGCATTTTCGTTATAGTTCCCGCATAGGCACTTTCTTCTGCAATTGGTAGAAAACTGTTATTTTGATATTACAAACAGACACTACAATTTTATTATATCTTGATAACTTACCATGGTAAACCCCCATGAACGAATTAGACAGGGGAACTCATGCAGGTATGCGTCGTTTTCTTGTTTTAGCCCACTTCTCTGTGCAGAGTGCTAAATTGTCCGCTGCAGAATGTAGCCATTCAAAGCATTCATCCAGGTCAACTTTCAGATTTGGGTCCTCATTTTCATTGTCCGTAAGAATGGTAGAGTTCTCTCTTAAGCTGGCGTTTATTATTAGTGAGAGGTGAGGGCTTTATACTTGTTGGCAATAAGTTGCAAATCGACTGACGTGATCTTGGCTCATACACTTAATTCTTGCGGTATTTGGCCTTTAAATTTATAACGGCATCGTATAAGCGACCCCGGGGTCGCATTGGGTCTTCAGACGCTTTATTATAATAAATGGAGCCATTTTCTGCAGGAAAAACTTTTTCTGTAATTAAAAATATCCCAGTTTATTATAAGAAAAGGGGATATTTATTTGCGATTTCAGAATTGCTCCCATAGAAAAAGTTATTTTATAAGCGGATTATATTGGACACAAGCTGAGATTAAATTTTCGAATATTTATTTATTTAATGCTTTATGCACAATTGTACAAATGCGGACTTAATGCCTTCTCTGCCAGTCAATCTTTAGGTGATGTGGGGACCAAATTAAAGGTAATGGTAGGTGCATAACCGTTAAAAAGATTTATTATTAAATATAAAAATATCAAAAAATCAAAGTTCAAAGTTTATTACAAAACAATGGCATTTGTGTGAAAATTGAAATAAAATAATTAAATAGTGATGAACAATTACAATTTTATTTTTATTACAATTTAACAATTATTTACACTTATATTTTGTGAATATCAAATTTAAAATTGTTATATACTGTTAAACTGAGAAATAAATAAATTAATTGTAATTGCCATGTTTAAGACAATTATTAACACTTTTTAATATAATTAATATAAATAATTCTTTATCATATAATTAATATAATAATGAATAACTTACTGCTGTGT